GTAAATGTAAAATGGTTCTAAATTTAAGAGAGCATTTATTAAAATTATATAATTCTTCTTTTCTACTGAAAAATTTATTGATTTTATATAAATTTAGATTTTTCTGTCCAACTTCTATTTTGCATGATGATTTCTTTAAACAGAACAGGATCAGCATTTTTGGAACTTGCTTCGCTAGATCTAGGGAGGAACAAATTATTGGTCGCACGAGTATATATCGTTATCTTGAGATACTCGTATCCATCGTCTCAGGGAGACGAGTTCAAAAATCATAAAAGCGCCCGAAGGATCGTGCGTCACCTCGGATGGTACCACCGGGGGTCGCGAACAGGGTCGCTCGAGTCGGTCTTTTAGCTTCTCAAGCCGAGACAGGCGGCGATGCCGACTTTAACCCAATTGCAATCTTACGATCGATGTTACGAGCGCACACGGCGGTATTGCGCGTCGCTTTCGCTCCGCATTGTTTCAGTTATTCATTCGATGCGGAGCTCGCACGGACCGTGCTGGCATGCCGTGTGCTGTGTGTATGCTGGCAGGAAGGAAAGAGGGGATGGGGGAGTGAGAGCGGACAGAAGTGCTCTCGTTCGCACTTCTCGCTCTCGCTCTCTCTCGCGCGCGCGCGCAACTNTTTTTTTTTTTTTTTTTTTTTTTTTCAGCAATGAGTCCCACGCTGCGTGCCAGCATTTCTCTCACACATACATACACTCTCGACAGTAATGGCCCTTGACATATCGAAGTCGAGCGCGCAGCGCGTCACGAGAGTTTCCGTAATTAAAAATTACACCTTTGCGTACGCATTCTCGCAAGCAAACTGCATTGATCCCACGGCGTAACGCCGCGCAGGTGTTGTCCGCGAATTGCAATTGGGAATAACATGATATTTTAGGTCGTAAAATCATGTTTTCCGGTTTCGATGTCGCTTTCCCATCGCTTTTACCTTCGTTAATTAAAAAGGTGTCATCATGAAGGGATTATTCATTGATACGATGAAATTTTTAATATCAGTAGTATCGAAAACTCCTCATTTTTAACATAACGATATAATATGTGTCATACTTTAAATTATTAATATGTTATACACAACGAGAACGCTGAATAAAATCTGAAGGAAGCAGGTAATGCACGCGCTCGATTTTCTTTTCTTCGATTTGTGAAAGACCGCAAGCGCGCGTGGGTGAGCCTTCGAAATGGAGAACGCAAACTTGCTAAAATATGTTCGGATATTGTTGCTCGAATAATTACGCCTACCTGTGAATCTCGACCGAGTCATGAAGTTTTAATTAACAATTTATACGTAATGCATCGCGCGGCGTGCAAATAGATTCTGTAACGTCCGGGTGTTGATAGAAATTTGTAAATAGACGCGATATATATATATATATATACCCGCTTGAATAAATAAAACATTCGTTTAATCTGATATTTGCGTCCTCGCGAGAAGAAGTTGATGTATGACCTTTTGGGAAAACGTGGAGCTTTCGACACGCGAATGCGCGTTTGCAAACACACCTAACGCATGTATTTCATTTCACCAAATGCAGAAGAGACGCGAGTAACAAAGCGAAATTTCGAGAGAGAGAGAGGGGGGGGGAAGCAACATTCGCGTACTCTGAAATACAATTACCTTTGAATATACGAAATTACTAGACATGCGATATAACGTACAGAGGCGGAAAGTCGGTAAATACAATTTGCACGTAACAGATAATAATTGATAAAGTAAGCTGTGATATATATATATATATATATCATGTGATATATATATATATATATATATATATATATCACGTACTGCCAGAAATAATATTATCCTAGACGTCATCTTGAAATTAGATACAATAAAAAGTGAAAACAGAAATATTTAATAAGCGAGAATTATGCGAGTCACGAGCGCCATGAGAGACGCGAAGAGGACACACATATGGAAATTGTATGAGCTGCATTATGAGACTCGCGAGTTAATTACGACCGAAAAAAGAAAGGAAGAAAAAGGGGAGGGAGAGAGAGAGAGAGGAGAGAATCACTCGGGAAAGTGTAATTTTTGAAAGTAATATTCACAGCTTAAATACGAATTTGAGAACGAACATATTCACACACAGTAAGTTTATGCTTTCATTTTCAAATAAATTCGATTCGTCCCGAGGACAAGAAGAAATCGAAAAATCGAAGGCGAAAAATCGCGCATCCGCTCGGTTCGCGCGCGAATTTTTTGCAAGAGAAGGCTCCGGAGCGTGAAAATAACGTTATTATTATAGGCGATTCATCACATGACGTCACGGCCGTTACGCGGGTGGGTAAAATAAACGAGATACGCCCCATTGAAATTTTCCCGAGGACGTAATGCCCTTTTGCGCGATTTGCCAGCTTTGATGTCGGCGGCTTCGGGAGCGTTGTTCCCGACCGAAATTGCCGATGTTACACCTTCGTTAGGACACACACACACACACACACACACACACACACACACACACGGCATGTCCGTTTGTCTGTCCTTATATTCGTGTTTGCGTATGTGTATATGTGTGTATCTATGTGTGAATATGTGTGTGACGCGCTTTCAATTTTCCACGTGAATGCAGGAGAACACTGGATTCTGACAGATTTTTCGATGAATGGAAATCATCTCGAAATATACAAACATGTGAAGTGACCATTACCTAACCGGCGCGTATTTATTGCGCTCGGTTCAACGGGCAAATTTTCACCTGACGTTCATGAGGTCAGGTCTCCTATTTTCTCGTCATAGCTATCTTGATTAATGACATCAGAAGCGAGAAAACGTTGTGCCGAAAATTCTTGCGGAATACGTTAAGATCAAAGGATATATCTATAAAATGATACTTTTGTATGTGTGTGATCGATTATGAATATATGTGTAAAATATTCTGAAAATTTTCCTTAAGTAAAACTATTCTAAAGAGAGGAATATAAAAAGTTTAATTGTTGCCGTTTTTCCGCGATGCTAATTAGTTATCTCGAAATCTCCATCTAGATGTGAGTCGTTGCTATATACTGAGTATTACTATAAATCGTAAATTTTCTGATATTTTCAAATCAGTCATTAGTCATTTTATCATAGTAGTTTTTAACTAACCTTCGAATAACAAGATTGATTGGGTCCGACCGAATCCATATTCATCTAACGCTTATGCGCACGCCTGTGAAAAGTGTTATGTTACAAATACTTTATATATTTTGCGAGATATTTTATTTACTTTTAAATATTTTTTTAACTTATTGTGAGAAGAAAATGTGCCTGTGGTTAGGAAAACTAGTCGAAAAAACTACAAAATACTTCGACCGGCGAGATCAACCCACGTAAGCCTCGTTATTTGAGAGTTAAAATCCTAAATGTAGTTTCGAAGAAACTAAAATCAGAAATTAAAATTGGGGCATTAAGTTCAAGGAACACGTATAAAAAATATCTTTAGTTGCGAATATCTCAGCTTCCAAATAGTCAATCGTTTTTCTAACTTTACAGACTCGTAGATAATACTTCTCCAGCAATACGCAGCTAAAATCTAAAGGGACTCCTGAGAAAATGACGGAGCAGCTACTTTAAATCGAGAAACGCCGATTATCGTGCTCGGAGCTGTTCCGCGGTATACGAAAATAGAAAACGGGGATAATCCTTCAAAACGATTTTTCTTCAGGAATCCCTTGCGAGCCTCTCGTCGCCATCGTTTGTCCCACGCCGACGCCGATCCCGTTTTGCGTGAATCCTCTGATTTACCGTGAAGGAAAAAATGACATGGTTCAACGGTCGCGAGAAGGACGAAAGGGTCTTTATGGTAATCGGCAGTCTCTCTTAGACCCACCCAACGCACTTATTTTAGACGTCGGCTGCGCGCTTCTCCGCTGCTCAAGTAGAAAAATGTCCTCGTTGGCGCTGCCTCTGCCGCGTATTTCGAGCACCCTGTACATAACTCGTGCGAGCTCGCGATATACCGTGCGCGTTCTCGTGTCATGGATCCCCATCCCTGTATAGATCGTCGTGGATCACTCGAATCGCGCGAGCCACGTGAAAGTGTACTTCCGCGAAGGATCGTATATCTTTTGCTGGAACAGCGACATCACTTTTACATAATTACAAGTGTTACAACACACACACACACACACACACACACACACACACACACACACACACACACACAAATAACGCAGTCTCGAATAATAACAGGATAGAATATAAAGATAGATCAAGAGGGGATAAGACAATCGTTGGTAGAATTTCCCCGCGAAATAGCGGCGGTCTCCTGAGGAAATTGCGATGGGCTGACCGCGGCGAGTCATCGGAAGCGAGAGGACCGCGCGCGGGACGTGGCGAGAAGAGCGAAAAAAGAGAGAGAGAGAGAGAAAATGGGAACGAGCGCGCGCGCGCGCTCCTTCCAGGTTAATTTTCGCACGAAATTACACGAGGCTCGAAGTAGTAGTGCCACGAGTAGCAGCAGCAGCAGTAATAGTAGTAGTAGTAGGAGGATGGTGAACAGAGACAGGCAGGCGGTCGGCCGGTAGGGTCGACAGAGACACGCGGCAACGGACGTTTAGCAGCGGGCGAGACGAAGCGCGAGGTAGAAGACGAATAGTTCCGACAACGGTGTGGGAGGAGGATAATATGAGGCGCGCGCGTGTGAGAGAGAGAGAGAGAGAGAGAGTTTCCAAAAGGTGGGAGCGAGCGAGACGGGAAGCGAGCCGGACGATCGAAAGAGCCGCGAGAGGAGTGGGACGCGCAGGTAAAAAAGGAAAGAAAAAGGTACGACGAGAGCCGTCGCGTCGCCTCACCGTCGTCGTCGTGTAGCGCGGCGCGTCGGATCCCGGGACACAGCGGTGCGCGCTCCGCTGCCCCACCCAACCTCGCCGACGAACGGCCATGCCGGGGTCGCGAGCCGATCAATACTTCGGCTCGGCACGAGGAGGCGCGAGCGCGCACGGGTGCGCCCGATCGTGAGCGGACGCGCACGATCGCGGCCGAGCCCCGGCACGAGGCGCTCCGAGTTCCCCACCACGGGCGGCGTTGCCGGCTCAGTCGCTGTGCGGGAGTGGTCGTTGAGGGATGTGTGGTATCGCAACCGAGAGTGTGACCGAGGAATAAAGAGCCGGCGTTTTAGTTTTCACTTGCGTTCCACGCTCTCTCTCGCTCGTCCGTCTCTCTCTCTCTCTCTCGCGCGCGCGCGCGTTATTCCCTCCGGTCAGAAGGAAGAAGAGGGAGAATAAGGAGGAAAGAAGGAACACGGGATAACCCAGTCAGTCGCCGTGTTAGTAGCTGTCGCAGCGACACACTCGCCAGGTTATCTTTCTAGACTCGCCCGCGGCCCCTCCCCGCGCTCTTGCCGTTCGTCGCGCCGGTTCACGGCTCCGCGTACGGATCGTGTGTATTTACGTCACTATTTATTGTACAAAGGACCTTAAGCTAAGGTAAGTGCAAAAAATCACGACTCTGCGTCGTACTTGATACTTTTTCTCTCTGCGCACATACATATCTCTTTCTCTCTCTCTCTCTCGGACACGCGCACACACACACACGTACGCTTCTGCGCCCTCGCCGCCTTGCTCGCTCCCTGTCGATCGCACGCTATATAGCGGCGCAAGTCGGTCGGGCCACTTCCACGCACACTCGTCATTTCCTGCGTGACCGACTACTCGCCGGCAGCGGGTCGTCGCTTCTCGATCGCCGTTTACTGCTCCGCGTTCTCGTGGGAACTCGTCGGTGCGAGAGAGCGAGCGAACCGGCTATCGATCTCTGCGGCGTCGTACTGCGTCGCAGGATTGCCTGCTCATTCGTTCGTTCGCCCGCTCGCTCACTTGCACATCGTCTCTCCGCATTGACGCGTAATGCGAGAGCCAGCGGTGCGCGTCGAGGCGCAGCCGATCGATCCCTCTCGGTATCTCGCACGGGGGCGGCTCTGTTCCTCGATTTCGATCCGTCTGTCGCTGCGGTAATGGACAAGGCGTCGCCGCCGTCGGAGAATGCGGCCGGGAATTTCGCTCTCGCTCCGTGAAAGTAGCGCCGTGGCGCTACCGCGAACGCCTGGCTCCCTCTTTGAGAGGCGTTTGTCCTGTCCGCCTGCTCTCTCTCTCTCTCTCTCTCTCTCTTTCTAGCTATCGCATGCGGAGCCATAACCTCAAATCGTACGATGACGACGCGATGAGTAATAATGCCACCGTCGTCGCCTCTTCGCGACCGAGACACTTCTCGCGACCTTCGTTGCGACAGCGCCCGTAGGCTCTCCCACGGAAGCTCCTCCACCTTGTGCATGGCTAAATATGTCTTTCTGCGACGCTTTCCGCGGAGGATGTCCGCAACGGGCCTCTCCCCGCGGAACCTCCCGTTGCCATTAGACGACGCGTTAACGAAGCTTTCCTCGGGGGGAATTTCGAATCGCGGAGTGCTTTTCATTTTCGGCTCCGAATATCTTGGTATGTGAGCGAACCAAAGCTCCTGTGTAAATCGAAGGAGAAAAAAAGATGGTGACGACTTGCTCAATCGGTTTGAAATTTGATTTCTTTTTTGTCTCGACCTGTTCGAGATTGAATTTTTACGACAGGCTGAATTCTTTTTTCGTTTTGTACGAAGCTTTCCGTACGAAAATCTAAATCTGGATAGGTCTTTGAACTTGGACTTTAAATTCGCGTCGTCGAAATGTCGATTCGATGACAGCGACACTTCGTACGTCGCGCTCGGAAAAATTATAGTTATTTTCGGCCTCAACTGTATCCTTTTTATGGTTTTTATTTATTTATTTTATTCACATTTTTTACGGGAAAACTTTCATTTGGTACACATAAATTATATATGTACATGTGGATATTTTCTAAGAGACCTAAGGGGAATATTAAATATATGGATTCCTCCAGTAATTCAGAGCAATCAACCAGATTCTCAGAATTTTAAAAAGAAATAAAAAATCCATTAATGTTCTTCTATCTTTCACAGTAATAGACCTAGCTTGTATAATAAAGATTTAATCGTTTTTTAGCCATAAAAATGGATTTCATCGAAGGATCGGACTGGCCGATATAATAGCCGACTTCTTTTTTTTTTTCTTCTTTTTTTTTCATCGAGAATAACTCGTAGATCCTACGTTAATCGATCGTTGGCCTTGGGATTTTGTCGGATGTGAAGACCGTGTTGTCACCATATTCTTATTTTCTGATTGTTGTACTCGTAGCGGCACTTTCAATTGCATTCGGTACTCGCGCGCCGACTACGACATTTACTTGCGACAAACAGCGACAATTGTTATCGAGCGCAACTTTTAGAACGAGGATGAAAAGCTCTTAATCTCGAAGTATCTATCTATCGCTAATCTCGTATCTCACCCGCATTTAATTCGCGCGCTGGTGGTCGAATTCACCAATTAGTATCGATTAAAGGCGGTATTTCGGGACGGAGAAGACCGCGGAGAATCGTCGGCGAGATATTGTCTTTTTCGGTAACGACGAATTTATCGCGACTTCTCGCGGAGAGCCGACACGTCGTTTCACGATAGGAAATGAAAACGGGAGGACAAATAAAGCGATCGTCTCACGCGCGCGTGAATATAGATATTAATTTTATCAGTCGCCGCCACTTATCTGAGCCTACATCGCGTCATGTTTCACTTCGCTGATAACGTCGCCCACCTTTTCATGTATTTGCGTTGAGCCGGAGAGCTCAAACACACAAAAATGTCCCTCAACGCTCTTATTTCTCTTACCATAGTTGTTTTGCGTGAAAATCAAACATTATCGTGATAACCATGACAACCGGATCAATCAATCGTCGTAATACGTTTCGAAGCTTGAATAGTAAATTATGAGCAAACATCTGCGAACGTTTGATCAATCAACACACTTAATGCTGCGAAGAGCGTCGATACTTAGGGCTTCACTCGCGGATCTTCGTGTTTTTTATTTGAAATTTCGCGACGGCCCGCCATTCCAATTTGCTTGAATGTTCGTAACGCGGCTCATTAATTTGGAGCACGTGAGAGAGTTGATTCATGATGCGGCCGGTCGTCCGATTCACATTAATGAATCGCGATCGCGTGCGTGTGTGGCGGTGACGATCTCGCTCGGAATCGCGGTCGCGTTGCCAGGCATTCATGAAAGCTTGCAAAAGCGCCGGGATTGCCCACGCGTGACGCCAGCCGCATTCTTCCCGCGTGCCCGCGGCCGGTCGAAATAGAAAAAAAAGTGCATTAACTTTCATAATCGGGTATCGATCTATCAGCCTTTGCAAGGCGGTTGGCGAGACGTGGGGAATGCTGCTGCGTATGCGTCATATTGCGACGTGGAACTCGGAAATCTCTCGCTCTCTCCGCCCTCGGTTTTGCTCCTTCGGAAACAGGATTCGCCGTGCACACACACGTTGAGAGGAAAATATCGAAATATAAAAAAAATATTTGGGGCTTATTGATAATATATTTATTTAAATCTAAATCTTTTCACTTAGATACAGAGTAAACAAACTTCGGTTCAGTTTCGTGCAAAGCTGAAAAATGAATTTGATTGGATCCGCCTGACAATGGACGACCAAATGTTTCGTTTGAAGGAAACCAAGTTTCCAGTTCGCATGAATCAAATTCAGTTTTTATAACCAGAAATTCCGTGTTTTTTTGCAACCAAAACGCGTTTAATCGCCCATTGCCAGATGGGTCCAACCGAACTCATTTTTCAATGTGTAAATCTAGCAAAATGTATATTTTCTTATTTGAAATTTTTTCCATTGTAAAAATATAAGTAGATATGTTATTAGTACCTATCAAAATTAATTTTCTTTATTTTCCAAATATTTTTTTCGTTCGTTAAATGCGTGGAGAAAAGTGATCGATTGAATTAAGGACGATGAAAGAATCAAACGCGTTTCGGTTGAAGGACGACAGAATATCTCACGTCCTTATGAACCATATTCGGCTCTTAGGATCAAAAATTCCGTCTTCTTCAACGAAAACGAGTTTGTTTCATTCGTCGTAGCGTTAATTCAATCAATCTTTTCCTTAAATATGTGCAATTTTTTTTCGCTCCGTGGTAATCTCGGGATGATCTTTGTGGGAATGGGAGCGAGTTCGTTCGCGCGTGTCGCGCGAGTTGCGTGTTCCGCTCGCGTCGGGCCTCTCCTAGAGTTCTTCGCACCAGACATATTTCGGCATCGCGACTTAATCTCGTGACAGCTCTCTTTCATTGCCTCATACACGCGGCAACATCGTTGTCGGTGTCGTCATGTCTACGTTAAACTCCGAAGCCAGGTAATCACGCGCGATAAAATATAGGATGTCGAATGCATCTACCTATCGAATCGCCTTAACGTTTCTGTTCCTTTGTGTGCAACGCGCTCTGCCTTCCGGGTTCGATATTCGTTGCCGACAGGTCGATATCGACCGACGCCGTCTTCCGGCCGAGAAACGTCGAATGATGCTTCTTAAATTAGGGACGTCGAACACCACGGCGGCATCGCGAGATCGTTTACCTCCCGAGAGAAACCGCGCGCATCGCGTACGCATCTTCACACTTTGCAGTTCGCTTCTCGCATTCCCACGAGTAATTCGCAGTTCTGTTGCCTCAATCGCGCGCTCACAAAATTATCTCTCGTTTGACGCATCCTCTTCTTAATGAACTTATTTTCGGTGGGTAACGAATTGAAGAACGACCAGTTTGATTAAGATTTTGTTTAGGATATAAATAGAGAGGATCGCTGCCAATGGTAATAGTTACTTCTCCGGTTCTCCCGGATAAAAAAATGACAGTCATCAAATTTGATTAAAAAAGAACAAAAGAATATTTTTATTTAGGCATTATTTGTTACTTTTCTTATTTACTATTTTTACTCATATATGTTTCGTTCAAATTTATATTATATATTTATTTATATTGATATCATATATTTCGTAACAACTTAACACAGTTTTCACTATTATAATAATTATAATAATTTTACATTCCGAAATTATCCTGAATTAATCACTCGATCTGCCGGAAACGTCCTGTTCGTAATGATTCGCGCAATATCTCGGAATATCTCGGAAAGAACGCACGAGGAGTGCCACTCCCTCCTCGACCGCCGGGTGCGCATCTCTCGAGAAAGCGGTGAACGCCGCGCGAACCGGAAGCGCATTAATGAAACCGGATCTTGGAGTCTTGCCGTCGTGTTGCGGTGTGGCCTACGAATTCTTTCGCCGCTGGTCGAGCTCGCTTTACAAGAGTCGTCGTGGCACCTCTCGAATTGGAACGTGGGTGACGCCGGCGCGATCCTGTGCTCCCTCTTCTCGAAGCCAGGGTTAATCCGAATTTATTGCGCCGTTGTGAATTTATCACGGTGTCGGGCGGATGCGGGGAGGTGAAGGATTTATGGATCTCGCGACAACGACGATGATTTCCGGAACCGAGACTTTTCGAACGCGCGCGCGAAGCTGCGAAATCAAATCGATCCGGCGAGT